ACTCAGCAAAAGGACATCGTTAAATAGTGGCTAGAAGAACTGGCTGCATCCTCTTTTAGGTTTTCATTGTCCTAACTATACCAAATCAGTGGGATTTGAAAAAGTTCTGAAGTCTGTCAGCCAGAGCCCTCCTGAGGATTTCTGGTAGCCATGGAAGCATTATCCAGCAGATAGATAAGGATCCAGTTTCATCCTGCATTGCATGATAAGGCTTTATGGTGGGAGACTGGGAAGGGCAAGGTACTAGACCAGCAAATATTTGACACAGAAATCTGGCACTGGTGTTTATTGCATGTGTGTGTTTGCTATCAATGTATATTCACTCCTGGTCTGCCTTCTTCTTGCAGTTCCCACGTTTGTTTCTTTCCTGAAGGAAGTGGAGTCTCCCTATGAGGTCCATGACTACATCCGAGCCTACCTTGGAGATACTCCTGAGGCCAAGGAGTTTGCCAAGCAGTTCCTCGAGCGCCGTGCCAAACAGAAAGCCAGTCAGCAGCGGCAACAGCAGCAACAGCAGGTAAGGGTGGCTCTGCTCTGCCTGGGGACTGTGTGAGGCTGGAGAGTCAGCACCTCTGCTGCATTCTTCAGCGTCCTGCCAAATGCAGACAATAAAGCAGCTTTCCAGCTTATACCACAGGATCAAGTTTGCCTTGTAACTTAGCAGTTGAGGCCAACTGTAGATCAGAGTGTTTTTGCATGGTGATCTGGGAAATGTCATGGGAAGATGAGGTGGATACATCAGTAGCTAGTGCTGCCACATGGATATAAGAAGTGCTGTGGGCTCTCTGAATATTTTCTGTATAAATAAACCAGACTTCACTGTGCTCTGTAATCTTGTCCTTAATTTGTTCTCTAGGATTCAGTGTGGGGGATGAACCACAGTTCGCTACATTCAGTCTTTCAGACCAATCAGAGCAACAACCAGCAGTCCAACTTTGAGGCTGTGCAGAGCGGGAAGAAAAAGAAGAAACAGAAAATGGTTCGAGCAGATCCCAGCTTGTTAGGTCCGTTTCAATTTTTAAAAATTAATGTTTAATTTGGTAGTGGTGGTTTGCTTTGGGGAATGTGGAGGATTCTTACTGACCTTAAATGGTAATACTGAATTTGAGTAGAAAAGTTGGAATATCTTTAGAATTTTTTCAGTAGTATTATTTATTTAATTATTTGAAAAATTCTGTATCAGTCCCATGGAAAACTTTTGTTGAACTTTACCTCATGTCATGGCCTCTTTGATACCTGGGTTATTACCTGGAAACCTCTTAAGTAGTTCAGGGATGTCCGTTAAATTCCCTTTCCTCTTTTGAGTTGACTTATGGCTATTTTATTGCTTTAATGCTGATTTGTTCTTTGAAGAAAAGTGTGTTTTCCTTTCTTTATGAGAAGCAACTTTCTGTGGTTGCCTTTGCCTTGCCACCTTTTTCCAGGAGCTAACCACTACCCTAATCAGAAAAGAAAGCAAAGATTGAAGTGGTCACAGATTTCCAGTTGGAGACCATGGAGATGATGACCACATTAGGAGTTCTATATTTATTTATTATGCTCTATGTCTTAATTTTTATGTCAGGCTGGTTTTAACAGTCCCCTGTAGCACTTTATGGAAAAGTTTCTTTGCAGTAGCTTTTAAGGTACAAGGCCATTGTGAGTGCATGGACACTGTGGGGTGACCGGTGACTGTTGCATTCCTGTGGAATAAATGTCTGTGTTTGTGCCCTGTATGACAGAGAGGAAACCAGGGCACTGCACTGGGCCAGGGTTTCTTGTGCTGCTTCTGCTTAGCCCAACTGCTTTATAGCAGGCAGGTACTGTCCACCTGAGTCACTGCTTTCTTAAGGCTCTAGCAGAGCCCTGCCTTTGGTTTTTGTCTTTCTTCTATTTTGGTCTCGCCAAAGTCAGTACTCCAACTAAATCAGTGATTTCTGCCCTGGTGTGTATGGAACTTCTCTGTGGGATCCTGACTTATGCCCATCCACTGAGTCTGATCTGGGTACTCAGTTGAATATATTAAAAAAACAACTCATGTAATGTGAAGAAGAAATCACTAAATACAATTTAGAAGTTCCAGCTGGAAGTAGCCCATGCAGCTTTTTAAAAATGTGTACTCTTTTACAAAGTAGTGTCAGATGCTTTTAGGCCACACAGCCACGTGAGGGAGCTAGAACAATTTTCCTAAGCCTACTGAACAGAGCATTTCTTATCTCTCAAAGTGGAAGGCAGTTGGCTGTCTAGCACAGAGCAAACCAAGCACTCTCAAGACGCTGAAGTTCAACTTTGTGTTTAGCAGCCTTACACAGGGGAACTTTCCCTGTTCTTATGCTCCAGATGGTGTTTGTACAGACTTAGAAAGGGGATTTCAGTAGGAAAGCTGCATTTGATTTATTGGATTTGTTTCCTTGCTTAAAGTGTTTTCACTCTTTCTCACACTTTTCTCATGTGATCATGTCCTCAACACATATGGCTAAAAAGTTGGATAGAAGTTTGGGTGCATCTTGAGCCACCTGCATGGCCCTGGGTAACTTTGTACATTTTCATATAGTACTCCTGAGATGGAAGTTTATAGAAAAGCATGGAAATTAGATGTAATTGCTACTAGATTTCATAGGTACATGCATTGAGGCTTTAAAGTAAAGGGTGAAATTGCTCACAACTCCTGAAGTCTGGGAGCATGATTCCACGTGTGGATTCCAAGTTCTCAGCATGCCCACTTCTTCCTCTCAGGCCACATAAATACCGTGCTGACAGCCACTTCCAAGAACCAGTTGACTTAAGCACGTTCCCTTTTGAGATGTTGCAGAGCCATGTTGCCACCGGGTGTAGATCTACCTCCTGCTGGCTCTGCAGGTGACATCTTTTAAATGGAACTTGAAAACAGTCTTCTGATCTGGTTTTAAAGACAAGTGATCCTTGTCTAAATATGCAGTTGATTATCTTCAGTTTATCTAGGAAAAAATCAGACAGTTTGGGTGACTGTATCTGAATTACCCCTAGACTCACTTTCTCTTACACATGGTACTGCGTTTAACAGATGTTTTCTATCAAGTACACTATGCCACAGCCAGATTTTTAACACCAGTTCTTCTTGGTTCACAGGGTTTTCAGTGAATGCTTCATCAGAGCGGCTCAATATGGGAGAAATAGAGACTTTGGAAGACTACTGAGCATGTGCAAATCAACTGGCTTTTCCTGCATCTGTTAACCATGGATTCTCTGTTTGGACACCGTACTCTCCACCTTGTGTTGTTCTTTGCCTCGCAGTGAATCACAGGATCAATCATCTCAGGCTGCTTCCTCTGGCCCCAGCAAACCCTTTCTGCCCACGACTGCACAGGCATTGTTCCTACTGTCAGCCCACTCAAGTGGACTTTGTTCAGAGTCCCGGGAGGGTGGGAGTTAGGCTTTGTTCACAACAAGGCTGAATTGGGCAGCAAGCTTTCACTGTGCTGTGATTCATTCTGCTGACATACCTGGAAAAAAAAATCAATTGGGATTCTGCAAAGCATTGCTTCGTTCTCCTGGTTACTCTTACCATATCCAACACGTGCAGTCATATGGAGCGAGACAGAGAGAGAGAGATTGAGAGTTTGTGGTTAACAGATGTTGGTCAAAACCAAAATGCCACACAGATACTGACTTGGCTGCTCCATCAGGGCAAGAGGTGCTCTCCTGGCCAGGAGTTGCATTTATAAGCTACCCTTAGAAACTGGCAACAGGAGAGGGGCGGTAGCGGGCACAGTTTAGCTTGGGTTGGTTTGAAGTTGCACACCCCCTGCCAGCCCTTCTCAGCACATAATTTTTGGAGGGAAAGCTCGAGTCTGTCTTCATTAGGTGGTGATGCTGAAGCTGGTGGAGTTCCTGTCGGCATTCTCCAGCCTTCCTGGACAAGTGGGGACTTCTGCTCTGGAAAAAGGGGGGTGGCATCTCTTCTTTCAGGCTGAATTTACCCCATAAGTGCTACCTTCAGAGGGTTAGGACCAGTTTATTTTGAGCTCTTTTCCTGCAAATTTGTCTCGTTTAAGAGACAGTGGGATCTTTACAGTGTGGATCTGTAGTCTCTGGAAAGGGTGGACCCTGGCTTTCAGAGACGTGCCAGCAGCCTCAGCTGGTTGTCACTTGAAGCAGTGCTTAGGTATCGAGCAGAGATGCCCTTTCGTCATGGAGAGAGACACTGGAGGACGAAGCTTTGTGCAATGATGGCCCTGCTTATCTTCTACACCTTAAAAGTACTTCATGCACCTTCACTGGGATCCATAACCTCTGAGTGTTTATGGAGTCATAACCTTCCTCTCTCACCGAAAAATTAACACCACCTTCCCTGCTCCACGTAACCACCCACCACCCCCACACACACCACAAACGACAGAGAAGGAAAACTGCCAAATGCACTTAGTTTGAACCCCCTGGTCCCATCTCCCGTCCCCAGAGGGGTGTAACCTGCGAAGGGAGATATGCTGCAGTTTTGGTGGAGTTGTATAAAGGTGTCTGTTATTCTGTCATCACTGCCTAAAGAAAACAGTTTGAGTTGCTCAAGAGCAGTTTGGCTTTGGATTTTATTTTGTTTGGTTTATTCATTTTTTGGGGTCACCTTCCCCTCCTCCTCCTCTCTCTTCCCCCATCCCCAGACATGTACAGTAACTATACAGAGACTGCTGCAGACTTGTATATAGTTTTTGGATCCGATAGCATGGAGAGACTTGGAACTGTTGCAAATCTGGTCTCCCTGTCTCCTTTGCTTTGTAAATTCATAAAAGGGGGAAGAGGGGTAGTTAAAATGTTTACAAAACTTTAAACTCCCTCTGAACTTTTGCCAGTGTGGGGGGGAAAAAAGAGAGAACTTAAATAAAACCTGGTTGTATTATATCTGAGAGAAAACTTTCTGCTTGCTTTTGTCAAAGCTGAGTATTGAGATAATTCCTGGTGCTAAAACCCACCCAAACTCAACTTGCATCAGTTTTCATCAAGAAACAAGCAAATACACAGGATGTGGAACAACAGCTGCTGCTTTATTTCTTCCGTGGTGAGGAATACTGGTTGGTTTTTCTACTTGATAATTTTAGAGTTCAAATAAACACCAGTAAGTTGATATTGGAAATTTCTAACAAGAAAGCTTTAATTTTCCTCAGCTGTCTGTAGAGAAATGTGTGCATTCATGCTGGTGCTGTTTATGCAGGAGAGATCAAGCCATGGCTGGTTTGCTCTTAACAGAAACACTTGGCCACGGAGCCTCCTTTGCCAGTTGGTACCCACCCCATGCACTCCAATGCACTGCCCTAAATAAGGTGTTTTATTTCTCCCCTCAACCTAAAGTCCACATGGAAACCTTGTAAGTTTCTCTTTTTAGACTTACTTTCCTTTTTTTCTACTTGTTTTTGTGTGGAAAATCCCAGTAAAGGTAATGGTAAATGTCCTGCCATTCTCATGACCATGGACAATCAGTATGCTAGGGCCTAACTTACACGGTAGCCTTGCATGATGTTTAGCTGGTGTCTGAGAGAACAATTTTTGTTTAGGCTGATAACCTTTGCTTTAATATCTTCTCTTTTTAGCATATAAGGTGTATGGTTCATAAGTGCTTTCTGGTTCTTTTAGTGGTATGATCTAATTTCTGCAAGCTAATTTTGGACTGCTCTGCACTGTGTTACAAGTACACAAAAGCGTGTTAATTTCGAGCTTGGCTGGGAAGCAGGAAAGGAACGGCTTCTTGACTGCTAAATGAAAATGCAGAAATGCAAGCAGGGAAAATGTGCAATAATTTGTCAAACTTTGAGGACCTCACTTGGCTCCTGAGAATTTGTAGATAATGGATCAGTGGGGAGGATACACTGTTCATAATACTGAAATACTCTGGTTTCTGTGAAGGTAAGGTGGTGGCATGTGTAGATTGTGTGCTCAGATGACTGCCTTGTCACCTTCTGTGACAAACAGGTCCCTTTTCTATAGCAAGAGTCATTTGGATCCGTAGGGATGGGCAGAATAGGGGCTCCAAAAAGCAAAGCAATTCCTGTAGAAAAATCTGAAATTTAAGACTTAACTGCTTGTGTCATTTTCAGAACATAAAGAACTGACATTGGAGGTGTTTATGTATTCATTACATGATGGGAAACCATGAAGTATTCATCATCATATCAGCTCCAAAATACTAATGAAACTTCTGTGACAATCAGCTGGAGTGTTCCCCTTTCTATACACCTCATCCTTTCGTCATTCTTTGTTGCTGCAAATGTGATTTGAAGCAAACCTGGGTTTCCTGTGCTGTGAACTGTCCTGAGCCCCTGAGGCAGGCAGGGACAGAGTGGCAGAGGCTGGTGGGAGGAGGTGGTGCCTGAGCAGTCAGGATCCGAGGAGGATGCTGGCATTGCCTGCCAAAGGTGACTCCTGGAACACTTGGAGACTTTGACAGCAGTTCTGAGACCACCCATGGCTCCCAGGCCAGCTCTGTAAGTATTCCACCCAGGAACAAGGATGCCATGGAGCTGCTCTGGCTCTGTGTCAGAGCATTTTAGCCTCAGAAGATTGAGGCCCTTGTTGTTTGCTCTCCCCACCCTGCAATGCCCTGCCACCCTGCACAGTGAGGGAGAGCAGAGCCCTCAGATGGGCTGCTCAGTCTTGGGCTGAGCTGCCCCAATGGCTCCTGTGTTATTTCCTGTGCCTCGGGATGGCCAACCCGAGGGAAGGCATTCCAGGAGCATCCTCGTGGCCTCTGGGAAGGGCTCACCAATAACTGCTTGTGTGTGCAGTGACCTGGCAGGGTCCTGATGGCTCTGCTTAGCTGCCTATGGGGTTTTAGGCACATGTTTGGGAGGGTGGAGCTGCCTTTGGGAGGAGGTGTGCTCCTGGAGCCAGAGAGAGGGAGGCTCTGCTGGGCTTTGCACTCTCTGCACAGCTGCTCTTGTGAGGGACTTTTTTTTTCTTTTTTTTCTTTTTTTTTTCTTTTTTTCTTTTTATTTTTTTAACTTGACTGAACAAAATTTTTATTATACCAGTGACATTTCTGAGTTGTTTTGTGCTTTGAAGAGTTTCAAGGATTCCTGCTGATGCTTTTCCTGAGGGAAGCCATGCCCTACCACAGAGTCCTTCGCCTGGTCGTGCTAACGCTGTGCAGCATTCTGGTCCCAGCTGTGCTGGCAGGTAAGGAGCTTTGTTTGCATTTAAAGCCCAGAAGCATGGGAGATCCTTTACTATTCTACCCCTCTCTCTTCTCCCTTCCCTGAAAGCATCCCTAAATATGTATTGAATTGTAATTGATTAAGGGAAACTAGCTTTGGTGGCTGCTGGTGAGAAGAATGTATTTTCAGTGGAGAAAATCCTTTAACTTTTCCTAAGAATGGCAGTAGCACCTCTTGTGAGCATTGGTGGGTGGGGTGTCAGTGGGCACATCAATCAGCAGGAGATGGAAAACCTCTCAGTGGCTGATGGGACAGGCTGCCCCTCAGCTTTTAATAGCAGGAAGAAGTTACAGTTATGGAAAGAAACATTTTTCTTTGGCTAAAGCATGTGTGCCAGATCCTGGTTCCTTCTGTGCTCTCTACTACAGCAGAGCACAACAGCTGCTTTAGGCAGAACTAGGGAAGTCCATGAAAACTTCAGAGCCAAGTGTGCATCCTTACGGAGGTTGCTCTGGAGCTGGGGCACCAGGGCAGTGCTGGAAAGGTGCCTGGCTCTGACTTGCTTTCAGTGAGGTGATGGGAAGAAGAATGGGAGAGATGCTTTGTGTAAGGCACTGTTTTTGTGGGGATTGTTATTAATTTCAACTTTATCTGCTCCTGCCTTCAGCAGAGCTGTGCTGGCTGCAGGAGCTGGGAGCACAGGCAGCTTCAAAGGCTGCAGGTCTGAGATGGGTTTTACAACTGGGAAAAAACTGATTTCCAGACCCACTGCACTGATGTGCTCTGAGCGTACAGGTGGAAGCTCTAATGGGAAATCGCTTCCCCCAAAGCCTTTCTTGCAGTGGAGGCGAGGCTGAAGAGATGGCTGGGGCCAAGATAACAGGCACAGCATCTGTTTTCCTGAATTTCTGTCCTGCCTTCCAAGACCTGGAGCAATGTTGTTTTGCTGTTCTCTCCCAGTTTCTTCTGACATCTTGCCTCGCAGGGAGATCTGGCCAGCTGTCTAGCAGATCAAATTATAGAATTCTTTTTAAAGGAGCTTTTGTATGAGTAGTGAAATTCACCGCTGTGCTTGATGGGTAGAGAAGCAGAATTAGTGCGACTGATATTGTCTCCTAGGACACCTTCTTTGAAGGGAAACCTTCAGAGTAACTAAGAAATGAGCACTAAAAAGTGGATACTTCTCAAACCATGAACTTTTTTTGTGCAGAGGAACATTAATCATTTTAACACAGTTTTAGTTTGTGCCTTGCTCTTAATCTCAGAAGCCCTGGCCATGTTCTTCCCCCACACCAGGTAAGATCTTTCCTTAATCATTAGCAGTATTTCACTCTACAGGAATTGTTTGATTTCCAGTGAGAATTCAATCTGCTTCCTCTCCAAGCTGGGATTTCAGCTGTTCAAATTTCCAATATTTGGTGCATTTGCTGTGGCCCCTCTCCTTGCCAGCTTTTCCATGTGCTTGCTCTGGTATTGCAGCTGTGTTTGTGCCTGGCACTGCCTCCCTGTGTCACTTTGCTCCTGTGATGCACTCCCAAGTTTACTTGATCCTGTTACTGGGTGAGTTGTGCTCATACAGTGAGGCTTGAAGGGCTTTGTACTCAGGAGTGCAACATTCAGATCTTGGGGTGGAGGAGAGATTCTGCACTTTCTCTGCAGTGCTTCAGGGACATAAGGCCTCTAACAGGTTGTTCCCTGCTCCCTCAGGAAGGACAGGAGGGAACCAGCCTGGACAGTTAAGCCATCCCAGGAGCAGAATGATTCTCCGCTGCATTAGACATGGAGAGTTCCTGCCCCCAGTACAGGTGCTTTGAGGAACAGTGGAACTTTTTCTGCCTTTTACTCCATTAGAAAAGGAAATTTCCGGCCTGATGCAGACAAAGAGAGGAAGGGCACAGAGCCAGCCCTCTGGTCTCAGCACATACACACACAGCCCTGCCTTTCTGTAAACAAGTTTACTTAGTACCCATCAGAACCGCAGCTCCGTGTTGCTGCACACAGGAGCTCCTGGCCTTGCCCTCCACAGGCTGCCCTTTGTGCTGCTGCTGAAGGGCTCCTTTCAGCCCTGCCCTGGCCCTGTGCCTGCCATGGCCACCTGGGGCTGGACAGCCCCTTGCTGGCTGGAGTTCACCAGCCCCTGCCCTTTCGTGGAGCACCTCTGGCTCTCCCCAGCAGAGCCCTCCAGAGTGAGCGGGAGCAGCTCTGCCTCAGAGAGTCTGACACGGGGTCGTGCAGACCCCATGTCCAGGATGAGTCTCCTCTCCCTCTTGGCTGCTTGCTCAGCTGGTCTGATTTCCTGGACAGCATGGTCAGGGCTCTGTGACTGGTGAAGTGTCAACTTCTCCATGTTACTGAGCTCTTTCCAACATCACATTTGTCAAAGATGGGGAGGCAGCCAAGAACATCTTTTGCCCCCTTTGTCCACATCATCTGGGTGCAACAGGAAACAGCCAGCTCAAAGATCTGTGACAAACCTAAGCCTTCTCCACTTCCTCTTTTCTTCCAAGCCCAAGTGGCACATAGGCCTAGAGCACAGGAGGATTATGAAGAGCTGATTTTTTTTTCCTACCAGCAAACCCGGTTTCAATTCCTGTAATGGATTCAGAGCCTCAAGTGAGGTGCAAGTTAGTACAAAGCCTTTGCAAGGCATTGGCTTCTGAATGATGTGTGTGTTTGATATTTAAACTCACATGTGGGCTCGTGAGCTTGTTTTGAGCTGATGTGGAAATATGTTTTACTGCAGTAGCACATCAGAATGAGTCTGGGGGTGAAAAAGCAACAGAGCACACGCACTAAAGGAAAAGATGCAAGAAAACACCTTGACCAAGGACATCTTTCTGTAGCATCTTGTGTGTCTTTGTTTTCAACTACTGGAGAATAAAAGATTATTAGGAAATTTTTTAAAGCTTAAATATTCTAGTACTTAGCAGTAAATAGGTTTTGTTTGGCAGATTTCAGGAAAAGATGTAGTTATTCCAGCAGATCTGTCCACACTTGAACCAGGACTTTGTAACCCCTTACTCAACCTTGCTTTGTTCCAACACTCCTTAAAAATTTCTGGCACTGGTATTGGCTCCTGAATAAGGAGCTAGGTTGGAGGTGGAGAGAGAGGATGATAAGGTGCTGAAATCAGCTTGTGTGAAGACTATTGGCCACGGGCAAGTAACCTTCAGGGGCAATGATGTGGTGTGGCCACATCTGCCTGCCTTAAGGTCTTACAGTTGGCCTGTGGGGGGGGTCTGGTTCCTTCAGACTTGGTTGGCATCACCCGGGGCTGTCACTTGTAGAGACTTGTCTGGTCTTACCTTTCAGTTACTGAGTACCTGGGGTGCTGGCTACCACATCACTGTGCTGGCAGCTCACCCCATCTTCTTTTTGAGCATGGAAAAAGCAGTTCTGTCAAGTTGCCTTTGCCATCATCCCCTCTAGATCTCTCTATGGCCCATGTGTCTGGAGTTCCACTAGCCCCTGCATCACTTGGAAAACTCATAATGTATTTTTTTATGGTAACTGATACTTTCTTCCATTTCCTTATCTCAGTTATAACTAACCTGTGCTGGAGAGAGGAAGGGGACAGTGCAGCAAAGCGATTTGCCTACAATGACATAATCTGTAGCATTTTACTTGTGGGAAGGAAGAACTACCATCATCCACCTGGCCTTCTGCAAAACATTCTTAATAATTTTAGTCCATTTTGTCCAGTTCCATCTCCAGTAAAACGCCAATAAGATTATTGCATGTTGTTCTCCTAAGTGTTCTCCAACTGTATTTCTCATGAAAAGGCTTTTACTATTAGTCTGAAAGCAACAATTGCCCTCAGCTTCTGTTTCAGTGCTAAGCCAGAGCTAATGCTGGGGAAGAGCTCATTTGTGCCAGCGCCTGGAGGCTTCCCTCCCTCTGGAGCAGCCAGCACTGAGGCACAGTGGGTGGGTCACTCATGTGCCTCAGCAGCCTGGCAGCCCCTGCCAAGTCCCTCCAGGGCAAGCAAACCCAGGTGAGTGTGCCACAGGAGCTTTCTAGAGGTAGGACTGATCCTGAGACTGATGGCAGCACAGCTAATGCGTGGCTTTCTCCCACATATTAAACATCTGCTCTTGTGATGGATGATGTATTTTGAGTGTGTTTCTTGCTAGTTTATTTCTGCAAAGTTCTTGGATGAACAGGAACGCCATGCACTACCTTACCTTTGAAATTTAGTTTCCAGCTCTTGGTTGCATTCCCTCCCTGGAGATGGCAGCATGTTTGGGTGTTTTTACACGCAAAGTTAAGATAGCTGTTTCTTGCCCCATGGCCATGGAACTTAACTTCAGCTTGTCCTTCCCTTGGGAAGGGCTGCTCTTGGCTCCAGAAATGTCACTGAGGCATTTACTGAGGTTCACAGGCCACGTCCCCTCATCACAGTCGGAATGCCAGTGACAGTGTGGGCAGGAAGGCCTGGCCACTCTGGTGCTGCTTTCTCTGTAGTTCATGTTCAGATCCTGGTCTCCTGCTCGTGCACAGAGAAACCGAGCCTGGGAAGAGCAGGACTTGTGGTGGTCACCCAGAACATCAGCAGCAGAGCAGAGAACTGAACTTCTGGACTGGGTCCCCTGCCTGTAGATAGAATCTCTCCAGATTCTATCCAACAGATGACTGGGAAAGGCCCTTGTGTCTCACTTGGAGACATAAGACCTTACTAATAGTGTGCGTGTGTTGGGGTTTGGTACCTGACACAAACTCTGTCCTTCCCATCACTTTTGTTGCTTTTATCAGGGGACTGAAATGGGATTGTGGCATTTGATGTGAGTCCATTAGAGATCTGCCACTCCCAGCCACCAGCTGTTTGGCTGACACTCATTGGGACTGTCAGGGAAACAGGCCCCTTGGCACCTGTTCCAGTAGCATTGAGGGGCAGGAGCTGAGAAGGGGGACCAGCATTGGGCCTTGGCTCCTGGGAAGGCTCAGCTGCAGCTATTTCACTCAATGTGTGTGCAGAAATCCGCTGCTGCCTCTGAGCTCACAACTGTTCCTGAGGCAGCAGACCTGACTGAAAGGGGTTGTGTTTCCCTGAGCTGATGTGCTGGTAGGGTAAAACCACAAGAACTTGGGACAGCAAATGCATGCTAAGCATATTCTGCCTTTTCTGTGTGGGCAAACTGAAAGTGTGTGTCAGTCGGATGAGGGAAATTAACAAAATACATACCCAGCAGCCATCTAAGTTTTTAAAAATTGCAGAGATCATAAATGAATTAGACTGTTTCCTCTGTGTTTGGCTATCAAAAATGAGCTCTGTGCCCTGCTTAAAGAGAGCTGCCAGAAATTTTTCAGGAGTTAGATGCACTGAGAACAGGAGAGACTTTCTGGCACCTCTAGGTCTGGTGGCGCCTGTGGGACCTTTGCACTATGGTTAGAAGAGGTGGTGCTCCCTCCTCATCCTTTTGAGAGCAGGGATTGGGAAGACCCAGCCCAGGTCATACAGTCTCCCTGGATGGTGCCTGCATCTGTTACAGATCATCTGAGCTAACACCAGTCCCTGGTCACATGCAAGGCATACGTGCAGCTCTGGAGAAAACATTTTTGGGAAAGGAAACAACACTGTCCTCCCAGCCCCGTGTTCCTCTGCCAGGTGGGGACAGTAGCAGTGTTACTTCTGGTCCAGGGGGTGTTGACAGAATCAGGAAGATCACAGCTGGAGTGTGGCTGTGTGGAGTTTCTCCCTTAAAAAAGCAGCCTGGAACCAGGGCTTCCAAAGCATTCCATATGTTTGGTCTGTTCCTAAACTAACAGCCTCACCATGCCAGCTAAATAGCCCAGCTCTGCTTGGTTCTCTCTTGCTTAACTTGCTCACTGAATTCTGTATTTGCTCTTGTTCCATTCTCTGGCTGTGAAACCACAGGATTTAAAGTAGAGAGGTCCAGTGGAAATGGCACTTTGTGGAAGAGCCATGGGATGGGATATGATTCTTCAGCTCTGCTGGTTGCTTTTGCAGCACAGGTTGGGAAGGGCCCTCTAAAGGCTCGGGTGTTTGTGGGGAGCTCTTGTGGAGCACAAACCTCTGTGTGCTGGTACAGGAGAGCTGAGATGCTACCTCTGGTGCAGAGACCATGGATGTACCAAGTGTGTGAGGACACTGCATTCATTCTCTGCTATAGCCAGCTTTGCCTGGGCTCCTGCCTGGGTCTGACTGGCACACTTGGACCGTACTTGTCTCTGCCGATGCTCATTGGGCCAGGGTTAAACCTGGCAGTTGTCTCGCTGGATACTCTGTAGCTTTTCTGCCTGAAAAGGAGCTTTCAAAATGAGTCTTGAGCTCTTCTGTGTTCCGAAAATTGTGGAATGCTTCTGACCATGCTGGGAGCTGCGCTTTGATGCAAACCCTGCAGTAAATTCTCAGTGGGTTTGTACTGGCTGGGAAGGTGAGTGTTTTGGCCCTTCTGTTCCAGGGAGGGATCTTAAGGGAGAACAAAGTGTGGTGCAGCCCATTAATGAGGATTCTTTGCTCTCCCCCCACAGCACCTTCTGTCCACAGGAGGCAAGGAGGGTTCCAGGCATTTAAAGCTGGGGCTGGTACTGCCAAGATGTGCTGCTGCCATCTCTCTTCCTGGGCCACAGAGAGCCTGGGACAAGTCTTCAAGTAACCCTGGTACACCAAGGTTCACATGCCAGAGCTGGGGTGCCTGGGGATACCTCTGTACTTTGCCCCAGGGAGCCTGGGCTACTTACTCATCTTTTGACTCCCTATTTGCCAGTCCTGATAACCATTGTGTCAGTTCAGTAGGGCCCTGGTAGTGAACGTTGTTCGTTTTTTCTCCCCCCTGCTTTTTTCCCCATCCCAGTGCAACATTCCCAGCGGTTTCAGCAGGGAGCTGTGGAATGTCTCCTGCTCCTGCCAGAGCCCACCTTAACAAGGCTGGGCATTGACAGGGAGCACTCGGTGAGCCACACACAGGGAGGGCTCTCTGGCTTGGTCTCTGACCCACGGCAGGAAGGAATAACTGGAGACGAGTGGGAACATTAAGCAGAACCCAGCCTGGCTTTCATCTCCCCGGTATGGCAGGGGTGCAGTAGGGGGAAGTTGAGGCTCTGGGGTCCTGTCTGGGGGAGCCATGTCCTGTGTTGTGCCAGCACCTCCAGCATCCTGCACTGCATGGGCTGGTGGTGCAGGACAAAAGGGCCCTGAGATGCTATGAATTTGGCCAGCACAGGTGGCCTGGTGGCCTCTGCCTGTTGGCAGTGTGACAGCCCTTCCCAGCCTAGTCCCAAGGACATCCATGAGCAAACCAGCTGTAGATGTTCATGTGGGGCCTGTTTGTGCATGAGCAGAGGTTGCAGGGTGTCCCATGTGTGTGATGAGTACTCTAGGTTGCCGCAGAAGCACATTGCCTTTGGCTGCTCCGGGCGTGGGTTCAGCAGAGGTGGTGTCCCCTCGGAGGAGGGCTCTGCCACACCGGAGTTCTCAGCCCTCAGGTCACCCTTCATCCACCCCGGGGACACCTGGCAGGCAGCTGAAGCACAGGGACCTGCTGAGCTGTGGCTGTCACTAGTCGCCTGACCAGGCCCCCCATGCCCGTGGGTGCTTGTCTTCCAGCAGAGTACCCGCAGGACCCGGTCCCCACCCTCTGGAACGAGCCGCCCGAGCTGCCCTCTGGAGCCGGTCCCTTCGACGCTGCCGCCGCCACCACCGCGCGGCTGTCGGACGCCACTGCCTTCCCCCCGTACACCTCTGAGCTGGAGCCCGAGGACACCACCCACCTGCACCGCCTGGACACGGGGGACGGTGAGTGGCTGCGAGAGGACAGCCCGCGGCTCATCCCGCAGCAGCCTGGGCGTCCTCGCGGATCTGCTCCCTGTGGGCCTGTCGCCTCCCGAGAGGGGTTAAAGCCGCACTGCTGGGGAGGGGGAAGCTTCCCTTTATCGCCTGCTAATGGAAATTTCCCTGCTGAAAAACCTCTGCTGTGGAGCTCTTGCCAGCCCCAAGATGGCTCCAAGACTCTTCTTCCTGCCCCATGCCCTGTCATGGCAGGCACCTGCCCTGAGTGCAGGTAGGGCTCTCCAGGGCAGAGTGTGCTGGGAGCTCCCTGAACAGGGAGCAGGAGTGCCCTTCCTGGCTCACGGCTCCTGACTGACAGCAAGCACCAGCTGAGCTGTCCTGCTGCAAGCAAAGCAACTCTCCCAGTGTGTTAGCAGGAAAGATGGGCACCACCGACCCACTTTGTGGAACTGTCCTTGTCACTGGGAGCTGGCTGAGGTGGTGGCTGGCTACAGCCCCCTGCCCAAAGGTGCACAGGATGACACCTGGGATGTGGCCAGTGCAGGAGCTCTGGGATGGAGTGTGGCCTGATGCCAGGGGCACACTGGGTGTGGGGAGATCTTGCAGCCCTCCCATCCAAGCCCCACTGCCTCTGCTGACCTGCCTTTTTCTCTCTTCCTGCAGGCTCACTGGGGCCTGGAGCTATTGGTGCCATTGTCATCGCCTCCCTCCTGGGTACATCTGTGCTTGTGGCCTTGGTTGTCATCACACTGAGAAAGTTCTCGGCCTCCTGAACTCAATAAAACATTTTTCTGTTACACAACTGGCCTGTCTCCAGCCCTCAACTGCTCCTGAACTGTCTGCCTGGGGCCCTGGGAGAAATGGTGCCAAGGATACAGGAAAAGCACTGCAGGCCCTGTGGTGGGCAGCCAGGCTGCACCAAGTGCTCATTGCCCTTGGTGTGTGTCTGTCTCCTGGGTGGCACAGACCTGGCAGGGCCTGTCAACCCCACTCAGGAGCAGCCTGAGGCAGTGTCTCGCTTTGAGAAGGGAGCTCAAAAGAGCTCTTCTGCATGATGGTAACAGTGTTGGGCATCACTCTGCATGCACAGCTTTCCTAGGGAAGCGTTGTTCATGGGTGTAAGCCACCCCAAGTTCATGTGTAACCCTATTTCGACCCACTGCATTTGGGCCAGTTGCACCAGAGGGGACTGGAGAGGAGGCAAGTGATCAGTCTGGGGGAGGAAGGAGACACACAAGTGTTTTGGCGCTGGCTTGCTCAGCTACATTTTATCACACGGAAAAAATAGACAACAAGAAGTTCCCCTCAGTTCGCTGAAGCAGCCTGGCAAGGGCTGGGGGGCTCCAGCCCATGCTTGTGGGCCCCAGGCCTGGCCCTGTACAACACTGGAGATCACGGAGATGGAGGCGTGCAGGGCTGGGTCTGAGCAAATAACACTGGATCCCATTGAGTGAAAATGGCACAGCCTGTGTGCGGGGTCTGGAGTCCTGTGGAATCACAACAGAGCAGGAGGGGCTGGAGCAATCCCAGGGCTTGGTGAGTGATGGAACAGGGCACAGCAGCACTGAGCCCCTCTCCCTGGAGAAGTGCTGTGAGGAGCTGGCATCCTGGCTGTGGCAAACTGTGAAATATCTGATGGGCAAGGGAGCATTTCTGTGCTGTGAGAAACATACCAGGCAGGCACGTGGGGCTGCCGGACTGGGCTGGCTGCTGGGCTGCAAAGCTGGATGCTGTGAGATGTTGTGACTTCTCAGGTAATTTTAAGGAATTCCTAAAGCTGGAGTTCCTCTTGGGTTTGCACTAGTGAATATGTGGCTGTTTCAAGGTTTGGATCCTGAGCTGGAGGTTTGGTTGTCTCAGAAAGCTGACTGTGGGGTGCTGCTGGAGGGACCTGGCTTCAAGTGTCCCCATTAAATCTCTTCAATGTACCAGACTGGAGACTGCAAGTCCTTTCTGGCCCAGCTCTGGGGCTGGGTTGTGATTGGGAACTACTGGCTAGTATGAACTTCTCACAGCTGGCCAAGGCAGCACAGCCCTGCTGGCTGTTCTCACATGCTGATGGAGTGGTGCTGAATGAAGAATGCCTTCTTCCCCCTTCACTGCTGTGGCTCCCACCACTTTGGTCCTGGGTGCTGGCTCTGGGCTGGCTGGCCCAAGGCTGTGGTGTCAGTAGGGACAGCCCTGGAACCCACCTCAGCTGTGTTCAGCCTCAAACTGCACACCCCAAAGAGCAGTTCTGTAGCCTCCCTTCACAGCTTCCAAGCATCCTGCTTTCTCCCCACGTTCCTGCTGGCATGGCTGTGCTCCTCCTGTCCATGCCTGTGGCCTCTGCGTGGCTCTGTTGGCAGCTGCTCTCTGTCCCCCCTCTGAGCACAACCGTGGCACAGCCAGAGCATAAATCAGTACACACTGCAATGCCTGGAAGACAATCCTTCGCTGTGTTACAGAAAGGTGCCAAATTGATTTTCCTAATGGATGCTGGCCACAGCTTAGGCCCAGCCTGTGAATGAGAGGCCCTCAGCCACGTGTGGGACAGTTGAACAAGGGGTGGCTGCTGTGGGTCTGTCCCCCACGCTGCTCTCAGTGCTGTGCCTGGGGCTTCATGAGTTGCTCAGTGCCACAGCGGGAAGGAGTGATGAGCTGGCTCTGCTGGCCACAAACTTGCATATTTACACGGAGGTGAGCCTGTATAGGGAGGCTGGTGGGGGTGGGTTACAAGCATGCAGGCAGCGGTTGCTGGGCCTCCCAGAGCACGTAGGACAGCAGCTCCCAGCTAAGGTCACTCCCTGCTGTGTGGCAGCTCGGGCTGCTGGTGCTCCCATGGTTTGTGTGGTGTGCGAGATGGCGCTGGCACAGGCACCCCTGCTCTGGCCTCAGCAGCAGGGCATAGCAAAGACCACAAGTGCACAAGCAACCAGGAAAGGACGTGATGCTGGGGTTCTGCAATGGCCCTGCAGAAGGAGGAAGGCTGTGGTAGAGGGGGCTGAGCCATGGGACAGTGTCCAGATGTGCTTCAAGGTTGTCAGGCAGGCAGAGACGTGGGCTAGAGCTGGCAAGGCTGGGCTGCTGCTAGAGAAGAGCTGGATGTGGAGCACTGCAGAGCATTTGAATGGAAGCAGATCGAGGGTCTGCCTGTGGGAATGAGCCCAGCAGCTTCACAGCAGGAGTAGGGTGGTGGAGTTCCTGGGGCTCATCCCAGCTGGTTGTCAATGAGCTCTGAGAGAGCTGAGACTGCTGCTTGACCTCAGTTCTGCCCCTGTGCGATACTGGGTTCAGAGCACTCCAGACTTGGAAGGTAGCAATGAGCTGTTCATGCTTAAACTGGGCGGTATCAATTGCTCATGTTGTGGCCACTGCGTTTGTCAAGCAGCCTGAGCCAGCCCAAGCCAGCCCATGTGGCTCATCTGGCCAGCACCTGGTGGCCTTTGGGCAGTGTCCGTTGTGCTCATGCTCCTTGGGGCTTTACAGAACACTTGGAAAGGGTTATTTACAGTTTAAAGCACTGATCTTCAGGAAAGGACCAGTGCTTCTGGGGGGACTAGGAATGACAGTCTGTTCATGGGTCTGTGTGCCTCATCCGGTGCACCAGGTCCCCAGCAGTGTCCCACAGCTGCCACCTCCTCCCAGCTGGCAGCCTCTGTCTTCTGCCTCCCTGAGGCACTCCAGATGCTTGGGGATGCTGGTGGTCACTGGCGGTTTCTGCTGCCCAGTTTTCTTCTCTGACTGTCATCTGACTTGTGCACCCGGAAACACTCCTTCAGGTTCTGGGCTCGGATTTTGGGGTTCAGGATCTCTTCCCCCATAGAACTGGGGAACCAGCCTCTCTCCTGGTCGTGAAGACGTTCCCCAAATATCCAGCCTGAGTATACACAGAGACAGGCATAAGTAGGGAAAGACTGGCCCTTGCTCCTGCACTGGGACAATTGTTCTGGAAAGAACCATTGGAGCTGGCAGAGCTTTCTGGAAGCTACTCAGAGGCCTGTGCTGGAGCAGACCCAGGTTATCCATCCAGCAAGGAGGCCTTCTCACCTGAGCAGCATTGTGTGAGGACAACTGGCTTAAAGGATGCCAGCAGGCACTGCTGCCACCAAGTGCCCTCTGCTTTCCTGGGAGCCACAGGAGTGGTCCCCAGTGGACATCCAATGTGACTGTGACCACCAGCTACAAAAGTACCCCAGAGAGCAGGACCACGTGGCTGTGAAGCATCATGAAGGTCAGAATAGCACTGGGTTATATCTGGAGTGGCTCTACCATGGCCCACAGCTGGTGCTGGGAGGCTGTGCCAGTGTTGCCACAACTTTGGCAACCTGGATTGGCTATTAGGAGAAGGTAATAACTTTCTTCTCTGGCTGTGATGCTGATGCCAGAGCCTCTCCCTGGCTGGAGGGAGAGACTTGCAGCTGCCTGCCTACAGCAAACCCATCCTTCCCCAGGGACTTCCAGCCCATCTCCATACCATCATCTGTTTTGTCCAGGATGTTGAGGACATCAGCCAGTTCTAAGGAGAGCTCATCAGGTTGCTGGGCCACGTACGGGTGGACACACTGGATCTGTGGGCAGTCTGCCAAGGAACAGGGCAAGAATGAGAGATGGAGCCCCTTGAAGAACAGCACAGCTTGGGTGGCTGTAGCCCCATGAGCTCTGCCATGGTCCCTCTGATCTGGTAAGGGTCTCTGAGGAAGCCAAGGAGTGCCCCAGCCACAGGTACTGGGGAAGCAACTCTTGGGAAGGGAGCTGGGTTCATGTCACCACCACAGTGCTAACCATGAGCAGCCTGGATGGGAGGGAGAGTGCTGGTGCAGCCCAGCCAGGCTGGAGGGGTGAGGTCAGGGCCAGGCCCAGAGACATGCAGGTATTGATGGTGGAAAATGAGGGGAGCCCAAGGAGAGGGTTCAGCTTTGGCATAGGTCCCAGATAGGTGGCTGCACTGAGATCAGGCAGAATAAGGTGCCCTGGGGTAGGGGTGAAGAGCTCCCAGCTCCCATGCTGTGTCTCTTACCAACAAGTCTGGATGTAAATGAAACAAATTTGGTTCTTCGGTTTGGGGCTAGTGAAATCATCCAGCGCTTCATTTCACTCCTGGACAGAGGAGACAAACCAAAGCTGTGAACATGCAAGAGTTGTAGGGATCCTAGTTCTTCTGCCCAGCCAGTTCTGGACTTCATGTTCCTCCTCCCAGCCTTTTCCTGCCTGCCCCTCCGGGGTCCTGGGTGCAGTGGTGATGCTGAGCCCCACTGCTGCACACCCTGGTTGGGATGTGACATGGTGCTCTGGGCCCTGCTGCACAGCCCTGGCTGTCCCCCATAGGCAGCACGGTTCCTCTCTGGGGAGGGTCCCTCTGCTAGCATTGTTGTCAAGAGCCAGCAGCAAGGTGGGGGGCCTGGTATTCTCTGAGGAGTAGCAAGCAAAGGCAGGTCCTGGCTGGGATGGTCAACAGGAGCAGTTTTTCTGGGAGATAAGCAGTTACAGGAACCATTTATTCCTGCAACTGCTGTATAGGAACATTTAAAGGGCAGAGCTGATTAATTCCCTTGCAGAAGAGCACTGCAGCACACCAAGGGTACCACTTGCTTGGCAACAAGACCCATGTGAACAGCACGCTGCAAAACCTGGACCTGCAGTTGGGAGGGTGAAGATCTCACAAATGCTGGAGAAGTCCCAGGTTTGGCTCCCCTCATGCTTCCCCCAGCCCCATGAGGAAATGGGGCAGTTCACAGGGCTCCAGCTCATGCCTGAAGGACCAACTGTGCTTCCATCTGCCAGAGAGACAGTTTTCTACCTTCTCAGGTGGTTTTAAAGCCT